AATCCGCCATCGAGTACAATTTTACTGATAGAAGACTCTGATTGGCTAGTGACATTACAGTTACAGGACGAAAATATTCAGATGATTTTGACTCAATTACGAAATGGTACAGACAATAGAGATATTACTAGTAATTATAAATTAAAGGATGATTTTCTTTATAGGAAAACTCTAAATGAGGAACGTTTCGTTATACCCAAATTAGCTAAATGGGGCCTAATGCAGAAGTTTCATGATCAAATAGGACATCCAGGCTTTGATAAAACCGAAAAGATTATAAAAGCACAGTTTTGGTTTACAGGCATGACAAGGTTTATTCGAAAATATATCAAATCATGTCTTCGCTGTGCCTATGGAAAGGGAGAATACGGTAAATTGCAGGGAGAACTGCACCCGATCGAAAAGGCAGCAGTCCCCATGCATACATTACATGTCGACCATTTGGGGCCATTTGTTAAGACTTGGAAGAGAAACTGTTATATACTTATTATTATTGACTCATTTACAAAATTTGTATTTGCAAAAGCTGTTAAAAACTGCGGTTCAATAGAAACTATAAAACATTTAAAAGATATAATAAATCAATTCGGCAATCCTAATAGAATAATTACAGACAGAGGTAAAGCGTTTACTAGCAGATATTTCAAGGAGTTTGCTAAAGAAATGCAATTTAGACATGTTCTAAACGCCAATGCTAGCCCTATATCAAATGGCCAAGTTGAGCGTGTCAATAGAACGTCGATTAACGGCTTAAATACTATGACCAATAGTGAATGCACTTGGGATGACCATGTCTCCGATATAATTTGGGGCATTAATAACACACCTCATGCCACAACTGGTTTCCCACCTTTCAAATTATTATTTGGTCATTCTAATTCGCGTTTACCAGCCTACCCCTGTGGGGAACCTGCAGACTTTGAAAGTCAAGCTCGAGCTTTAGAAGAGAGACGCGGCAAGGCTATTGCGTATTGATAAAAATATGACTCTTATGAAAGACCGATTCTACCGAACTCATAAGAAATGTGTTAAATATTCTGTAGGACAATTGGTACTATGGAAAGGAGGGATAACTAGGAAGAATGCTAATATTACTAGGAAGCTTAACGGTTTGTATATTGGACCGTATAAAGTATGCAAAGCTGACCACTCATTAGACCGATACACGATAAGCAGCATCAAGGGTATGAAGGGATACAGAAACTTTTCGGCAGGTGTACGCGGCGAAGTCCTCCGGCCTTATAATTCTTCTATCCCCGATGACAGTAGCGGTAGTGATCATGAAGTAGACAGGGATGATCTTATAGATCTTTTAGAAAGCTAATTGAATCTCGGGCTATATTAATATCAATATTATATAGAATAATAGTATGTAAGTGGATGTACAATAAAAGTATGCAATTAAATTATTAATATCCTGTGATAAATCATATTTATAATGAGTTAATAAATGGTCCCTAATAAATATAGGAAGAAAAATGTCTGTTGCCTTAGGTGTTTCGCTACAACTATTTTGACTGTTATAAATTACTTTTACGATTGATAAATTATGTTTTGTGGTAATATATAAAGAAAAACAGATTTTCGATAATTGCTACCTGATCCTAACTAATTATAACTACTCTGATTTGCTACATTGTAGAATGTAACTCTATCTAGATGAGAGCTGTATGACTCTATACTCGTATACATAAAATAAAAGCTGTGTGACCCCCATAATAAAAGATGTGTGAACTTATAACAAAAGCTGTGTGTGACCCTATAGTAAATAAAAGCTGTGTGATCCTATATAAACAAAAGCTGTGTGATCCTGTACAAATAAAAGCTGTGTGATCCTGTACAAATAAAAGCTGTGTGACCCCATAATAAAAGCTGTGTGACCCCATAATAAAAACTGAGTGATCCTAATCAAGGCGGTGTGATACTATAATAAAAGCTGTGTGATCCCATAATAAATGCTGTGTGACAACATATTAAAAACTGTGTGATCCTATACATTAATAAAGGCTGTGTGTACAAGTAAAAGTACAAGCAAAATGAAATATGACAGATAAACAGAATTATTAATGTATAAAGACATACAAATACAAACATATTGCATGAACTCGCAACGACAAGCATACTGTTGGTACTATTCAAATTTCAGGTGCCGTACTCCAACGAGAAACCAGGACCTAGTGGCGTGGCTGATCGCCGTGGGACACGGAAAACGCAGGATGGCCGAGTGTTATCGTCTTCCGGTCCTGGGTTCACGAGCTCGTCCGCATAATTAAGTTTATTTTAATTTCCCAGAGAATTACAAAACCTTTATTAGATTAATAACCTAATTTTTATAATACTTAATAAGTTAATGATGATTAAATAATAACTGCCGCCTTCCGCTTGTCAACTTCCGGCGAACCTAAGATTAATGTTATTAAATGTATATAAACAATTTTTATTATTGTTTAGTCGTTGCTATATTGATTGACAGTTATTTTATAATTTATGATGCAATATTTATAGTAATAAGAATATTAATGTTCATTATTAGGTTATTATTAAAATTGTATAAAAGGCCGCTGTGACGATAGATTAGTCAGTTGTTTTGTAACCGCCAGTAAGTAAAGGTGTTAAGGGTAACTGTCAGTTTGTGAAAGTGATTACAAAGTATATATATACCAAGTAAAAATATCGTTTATCTGCGGTTAGTCGTACCTAGTCTATCCGCCATCCACATAATTGTGGATGGCGGATAGACTAGGTACAGGTGGTAATTGATTGACCAAATGCTAACGGCTTAGTGTCAATCGCACGAGGACGTGCGATAGTCGGATGTGGCCGTGTCGGCGCGTCTATAAAGTACAGAGAGGTTGCATCACTCTGGAGGAATGGTCATATTTATGGTGGTATCATAGAATTGAGGTTACCTATATCGGGAGCCGTCGTAGGTGGCAACCGAACCTCCACCGGAGATTCTTAGCACCCCCTGGCCCGCCGTTACCATGGTCGCCACCGTAGCCAGGAATAGCGGGGCCGCCGGGGACTGGGGACCGTTTGTTTGCGTCGTTGCTCTTGGGAAGATATTTTCCATAGTTGCCACGCTTGGCGAGCGGGTTGGCAACCGCAGTTTTTGTTGTGTTATTGTTGTTATTAGGAAGATGCTGCTGCCCATCTCCTTTCTGTGTCCCTCTGTCGCCTCTTACGGGAAGATATGGGGTAGTGGATATTCTCAACCGCCACTACACGGCGGTGTAAACTAAAGTGTACAACCAGTGCGTGTTGCCAGTGATGACTTACGGATCAGAGACGTGGTCCTTTACTGCTGGCCGTATGAGGACGCTCAAGATCGCTCAGCGAGCTATGGAGAGGGCTATGCTCGGAGTTTCTCTGCGTGATAGACTCAGAAATGAGGATATCCGCAGTAAAACCAGAGTAACCGACATAGCCCAACGGATTAGTAAGCTGAAGTGGCAATGGGCCGGCCATATAGCTCGAAGAACCGATAACCGATGGGGAAGAAAGGTTCTCGAGTGGCAGCCTCGTACCGGTAGGCGTAGTGTAGGGCGACCCCCGACTAGATGGAGTGACGACCTGGTAAGACATACAGAAAGTCGATGGATGCAGGTGGCTCAGGACCGTGCTTTGGGACATTACTTGGGGGAGGCCTATGTTCGCAGTGGACTTGTGAAGGGCTGTAATGATGATAATGATGATGATATCGGGAGCCCAACAGTTTGTGCAGTGTGGAGTTCACTGTGGGTGTCGTGTGCAAGGATGCAGACAACGTCATTCAACGAGTGCTGGGACTCGTAGAGTGAAAGAATTGTGGTTCCGCCATTGTAGTGGTTCTTCTAATGCAGAAGAATATTTGTGGTGTTGCTGTTGGTTTTTATACTTTGGTATTATCGTGTTATTGCGTCCCTCACGTTGCACTACTATGTTTTTGTGATGGGGATTGATTGTGGTTCGGTCGGGCTATATTGCTCCTGCAATGAAAAAAATAGAAAAAAAAAGAGAAGAAAAGGGAGAAAAAAGCGGTTCTTACTATAAAACTTAATCGATAAAAAGTCTAAAAAAAGAATAGAGAGAAAAAAAGAGAAAATAGGTAAGAAAAAAAGTTGTTCTTGTTATCATTGAAGGGCTTATGCCGGTCCAAAAATATGGCTGAAAACGACGAAACAAGGGCTTTGATGTTGATATAAACCTCAAGTTAATTTGATCGCTTGGGCGTCTTATGAACTTGAGTGGCTGTCGTCAACATTCCGCTGGGTTGAGCTCTCGTCTAAATCTCGTAACAACTTCGCAATGTTACGCATCAGCATATTGTGAATGAAAAATATATAAAATGAAGATTCTGAAAGAAATGAGAGGCTCATAAGGGCTAGAGCCCAGAGCCGTAAAGCCAGTTTAAATAAAAAAAAATTGAGACAACAATGGGAATTTGGGCGCGAACTTGGCCATAGACGGATTGTCGCCCCTGTTTTGTCGCTTGAATAAATGTTTGAAGTGGATTTTGATTCGTAAAAGTGATGTGATTTTGTGAATTAATTTTCCGCGCAGGTGAACTTTTAGAGAAAACGACGAAACTAGTGCTTTGATGTCGATATAAACTTCAAGTTATTTTGATCGCTTGGGCGCCTATGCTAAACCACTTGCATATCCACGCACAATAAAATATTTCTCCATTTTTTAATGTTTCTTTTTGTCAAAAATTACAAAATTACGGAGCATGAAAATTTTCTCACCAGTGCCTCTAACCTTCATGAACTGTCCGCTGGGTTCAGCTGTCGTAAAAATCTCCCAAGGGCTTCGCAATGTGACGCATCAGCATATTGTGAAGAAAAAATATAATATGAAGATTAAGAAAAAAATGATAGCCCCAGAAGGGCTAGAACCCAGATCCATAAAGCCAGTTAATAAAAAAATTAGACAACAACAACAACGGAAACCGTTTGTTTGTTATTTTTAAGACCGTGGTACATTTGAGATATAATTACTCGATTAGTGTTTAAAACACGATGACGGGAACCATAATAGAAAATCTTAGCGGTAGAAAATTGGCTGTATTAGTCACGTTTCTTTTGTTATGTCAATTAACATGTTTTCTCATCGGCGGATTAATCGCACCCACGCCAGCGAATGCTCAGAATATTCTTGCTACGGTATGCAAGGACACGACAATTATGAAAAATGATACAACAAAATGGTTTTACAACCGGGGTAAAGATAAATGTAAAACGGTCGACCTCGGCGACATGCATCAAGACTTGTCCGAAACGGATGTTGTTTTTGCGTTCCAAATGCCGGTTCCGAGAGACGGCGAAATCTTAGACTTCTCCAGATGGCAACAAAACTTAATTGGTGTCTTACAGTTGGATTTGAAGTATCATTCTCAAATGGAAGTTAAACCTAGAAGTACAATAACTATAGATGCCCGACTTGCGTACAAGAACAAAGGCGACGCGGATGAAGACTGGAAACTTTATACTCGGTCCGTCGAAAAACGACATTTAGACTGTGATATTGAAGTGGGAACTGAAGAATATTTGTACAATTGTTCTGCAATACCACTTTTTGAACTTGGTTCTTTGTATCATGATTTTTACCTACTTAATATAAGATTACCAGTAGACACGCCCGATATGAATACTAACATAGGCCATATACAAGATTTATGGCTTACAGTCATTAATCAAAATGGAGGATTTACAAAAGTGTGGTTGTCGTTGAAAACTGTTTTTTTTCCATGTATTTTTGCAATATTAGCCTGGTTCTGGAATCGCATTCACATGCTACAAAGAAAACCTGTATTATTGGAAAAAATGCTTTTGAGTCTCGGAATAGCATTATGTTTTCTTAACATGCCTTTAGAATATTTTACATTACATTTTGATCTTCCATTTATGTTACTTTTGGGAGATATCAAACAAGGTGTATTTTATGCAATGTTATTCTCATTTTGGCTTGTTTTTGCTGGTGAGCACATGTTGATTCAAGACACATCTGCTCAAAGTTCTCTGAAGCAGTACTGGAGACATTTAAGCGCAGTCGCAATGGGTTGTATTTCACTTTTTATATTTGATATGTGTGAAAGAGGAGTTCAGTTGCGTAATCCATTTTATTCAATCTGGGTGACAGATTTAGGCACAAAACTTGCTCTGACCTTCATAATACTTGCCGGCATATCTACTGGAGTGTACTTCTTATTCTTGTGCTATATGGTATGGCAGGTGTTCATTAATATATCTCAAAAACGTCAATCACTGCCAAATATGTGTTCTGTAAGGCGATTGCATTATGAGGGGATTATATATCGTTTCAAATTTTTAATGTTGGCAACATTGTTATGTGCTGCTCTAACTGTAATTGGATTTATTTTGGGACAAGTTGCAGAGGGTCAATGGAAATGGGACGAGAGTATTGAGCTAGAGTATACTTCAGCATTCTTCACTGGAGTGTATGGAATGTGGAATATCTATATCTTTGCTCTACTGGTACTGTACGCACCAAGCCATAAGCGCTGGCCAGTCAATGAAAACAGCTCTGATACTCAGAATTTAAGCGAATAAATTGAGTTTAGTCTATTACCATGTGAGAGAAATAGTGAGATTTCATCCTTGACATCTTTTATCCGAAAGACCACAGTTGATTAAACTTTGCCATTTATAAGAAAAAGGTCTTTAGAATATTAATGTTTTTTAATTGAATCAATGTAAAACCGAAATTTGTCTAAATTTATACTTTTATATTTTAGGTTTTTCTTCCCTAGACGTAAGCAACTTTACCAGTATTACTTAGATACTTATGAAAAAATACATGTACTCACATATTTAAAACAAACCATATTCCATATTTAGAACTCTTTTATCTTTAAGCTTGTAGTTGTTTAACCATTTTATATATAGAATCTCTCAGTATGTGTTCTTGATTAAATATTTACCTTTGAATTTTTTGTTGTTTACAACAAAGTCTGTATTAGTCACACATTAGCTTTTGCCAATGTGTGACTAATACAGACCATATTTTGACCTGTAAACAGGTTTTGCAACTTTCACTAAATAAAGTGTTTAAAAAATGAGCTTCCAAGTTTTAAATGTATTAATTTACTGTACCATGGCTCTTAGTGTTTTTGTGTGATATCTTTGATTATAGATTACTCCTATTACTAGAGATAGATGAGCAACTCAAGTTTTATTTACCACTTTCCCCACTTTACAAATTGTTATAAAATTGTAAAGTGCAAATATGATTTGATTTCTAAAATTTACATTTTTTTGACAGTATTTTATACAGACTTAAATTGATGTTGCCAGCATTAATACTATGATTAAGGATTTTTGTTATTTTCCCTGCAAGCTAATATAACTGTAGCCTATCTTAGTAATTAAATAAATGTGATTAAAATTCAATTTATTATTTTGTTATTTAAAAGGAAAGCGTCCATCATCATCATCATTATCATTACAGCCCTTTACAAGTCCACTGCTGAACATAGGCCTCCCCCAAGGTATGCCACAAAGCATGGTCCTGAGCCACCTGCATCCATCGACTTCCTGCATGTCTTACCAGGTCGTCACTCCATCTAGTGGGGGGTCGCCCTACACTTCGTCTACCGGTACGAGGCTGCCAGTCGAGAACCTTTTTTCCCCAACGGTTGTCGTTTCTTCGAGCTATATGGCCGGCCCATTGCCACTTCAGCTTACTAATCCGTTGGGCTATGTCGGTCACTCTGGTTCTACTGCGGATATCCTCATTTCTAAGTTTATCACGCAGAGAAACTCCGAGCATAGCCCTCTCCATAGCTCGCTGAAGGACTTTGAGCGTCCTCATACGGCCAGCAGTGAAGGACCACGTCTTAGTTCCATATGTCATCACTGGCAACACGCACTGGTTGTACAACTTAGTTTTCAGGTTTTGAGGTATACTTGACGAGAAGATGCGTTGTAATTACCAACCAATTGACCTCTCTGTCAAAGTTGGACTTACCTAGCCGGACTATTTGTCCCAGGTAAATGTACTCGTCAACAACTTTGAGCTTAGTGCTCCCAACAACTACCGGCATAGGTGTGACATGGACATTAAACATGATCTTTGTTTTGTCGATGTTCATCTTAAGACCTACCCGTTGGGAGGCACTATTGAGGTCATTGAGCATAGTGCTTAAGTCCTCCAGCGATTCTGCCATAAGGACTATATCGTCGGCAAATGAAAGGTGAGTGGTGTACTCGCCATTGATGTTAATACCGTATCCTTTCCAGTCCAGTAGCTTGAAAACGACTTCCAATGCAGCGATGAAGAGTTTCGGGGAAATAACGTTACCCTGTCTTACACCTCTCTGCAGTTGGATAGGTTTCGTACTTTGGTTCTGTACTCGGATAGCCATCGTAGCCCTACTGTACAAACACTTCAGCACTTCGATATACCGACAGTCAACTTGGCACCGCTGAAGAGACTGTAGCACCGCCCAAATTTCGACGGAATCAAAGGCTTTCTATGAGAAAGCCTTTGATTCCGTGTACTATGGTCCACATACGCCAGACAAAGTGGCAGATTGTACTCTTCGGACTTCTGCACAATTTGCCGAAGGGTATATATGTGGTCTATGGTGCTAAAACCTTTTCGAAAACTGACTTGTACGTCGAGTCTGCGTGCGAGACGATTCGTAATGACTCTCGATAACAGTACGTAGACGCTGCTCAAAAGGGATATCGGTCTGTAGTTCGTCAAGAGGGCGTTGTCACCGTTCTTGAAGAACAAGACCACCGCACTTCTGCTCCACCCGCTTTCAGAAGCTCCGCTGTAATTCCATCCTCGCCCGGGGACTTGCCGTTTTTAAGGTGCTGGAGAGCCATTCTAATCTCGCTCAGACTGACGTCCGGGATATCATCGGAATAGTGTCGGATAAGACCCGCTCTTGGATCGTTACTCACACTTGCGTGTGGCTCCAACGATGATGTGTACAGCTGCCCATAGAACCTCTCAATCTCACTCAGAATCTCAGGTGTCCCGGAAACGATGCTGCCACACTCAGTCTTCAGCTTTGACAGTTGGCTCTTACTGGCAGACAGATCTCTGGCAAAGACTTTGGAGCCCTGGTTTCGCTCAATCGCTTCTTCAATACGAGCAGTATTAAATTTGCGTAAGTCTCGCCGCATGCATTTGGAGATCTGTTTGTTCAGTTGCCTGTATGCTGTCAAATCTGTTGACGACTGCAGCCTCATCTCTCGTCTAACAGCCATGAGATTAAGAGTGTGATGAGAGAGCTTTTGTGTTCTTCTGTGGCCGGTCTTGCAGAACTTAGCTCCGACCGCATGGGCAGTTTCCACGAGCTTGTCATTAATATCGTCGACTGCATTGCAATCTTCTAGGCACTGAAATCGGTTACGTAACTCGAGCTGAAAGGTTTCGGGATTCTGGATTAGAGCACGAGGGGGACGGAGCGTTGACTTCATTAGACGAGACCTCTCCAACTTAACGTTTAGGTTCAGTGTGCCTCTAACCATTCGGTGATCGCTGCCAGTTTTCACCCTTGCGATCACTGAGACATCACTGAACAGTTGGCGTCTGGTCGTCATAATGAAGTCAATCTCATTTTTTGTCGAACCGTCGGGGCTCGACCAGGTCCATTTCCTGTGGGGCCGCTTCTGGAAGAAAGAGTTCATCATAAAGAGTCCCTCTTTCTCCATAAAGTCGGTCAGCTGCTGGCCCCTACGGTTCCGTTGCCCCACTCCAAATTTCCCTACCTTCAGCTCATCGCTTTCTCTTGTGCCTAGTTTTGCGTTGAAGTCTCCCATCAACACCGTGTAGTGGGTTTTGGAGGAATGCATGGCTCGAGAAATATCCTCATAAATTTCCTCCACCTCCTCATCGGGATGTGCCGAGGTTGGTGCGTAAACCTGTATGACCTTCAGCGAATACCGTTTGGTGATTCTGAGTATCAGGTACGCGACCCTCGTCGACATAAAACGTCGTCGTCGTTGTGGACGATAAATCCGACACCTCCTTGGGACAGATGGTCGCCCTCCCGGTGATAGAACAAGTTGCCGGACTCGAGGATTACCGTGTCCTCCCCCTCTCTTCGGACCTCGGATAACCCAATAATATGCCAGCGCAACTTGTCTACCTCTTCTTCCAACTCCAGTATCTTCTCGTCAGTCCTCAGGGTGCGTGCGTTATATGTTGCCAGGTCGAGTCATCGTAAGTGGCAACCGAACCTCCACCGGAGATTCTTAGCACCCCCTGCCCCGCCGTTACCATGGTCGCCACCGTAGCCAGGAATAGCGGGGCCGCCGGGGACTGGGGGCCGTTTGTTTGCATCGTTACTCATGGGGGGATATTTGCCATAGTTGCCACGCTTGGCGAGCGGGTTGGCAACCGCAGTTTTTTATTATATCATTGCTGTTATCAGGAAGATGCTGCTGCCCATCTTCTGCCTGTCTCCCTCTCTCGCCTCTTACGACACCCACGGGAAGATATGGGGTAGTGGATATTCTCAACCGCCACTACACGGCGGTACGCGGTACACGGGTAACATATACATAATTTGTTCTTTATTTATTTTGACTAATTAATTAATAATTATCTATTAAATTATTAATTATAATTATTTAATTATTTGTGTTTCATAAACTTATAATGCTTATGAGATTCAATAATATTTAGAGTCAAAATACAAGCATATTATATGAAGTAATTATATCTAGACATTTTCTTTTTGAGTCTATAAATAATTTTACTTGGAGTTTGGCTTAAAACATAAACCTGCGATAAATATGCCCCATTAAAAACAACAAAGAAATAAAAGTAGATATTGTGGTGCAAACTTAGTTAAAAAAATTAATTAAACAAGTTAAAATCACATCACAGGCTCATATTGTTCACAGTTATATGTACAAACACCAATCAACTTCATATAATTTTTTTTAAATCCTTTATTTGTAACGCGATTTGAATGGTGTTTAAGGCACATATTTTAGACAAAAGTAGAAGAATTGAAATAAACTTTTAAAATAGCAAAACAATGCTGCTACTGATTTTTATCTTGTAATGACTAATTAAATTATTACTTAAAATTAGAGCGTTCAAAGTAAGACAATTTACGTATCTAAGTCGATTTCTTTTAAACAAAAAAGGTATTAGTATTTCTTAGTACCATTCACTAACTGGTCATGAATAAATCTTAATAAAAATGGTTGTTAGAGAAAGATATATTCCTTCAACTCTCCTTATGTTAATTACACAATAGTTCTTAGAATAGTTAGTATTAGGTCCTTAACTTTCAAATTGTAGTTTTCTAACACTAGCTAGTTTGAAGCAATATCTTGCGTTTGACTTTGAATTCAAATTAAGATCGTAATAAAAATGTTTTATAGCTTTTTTCTTTAAAGAAACAAACACGTTTATCAGTTTTCCTGACGTTTTTATATTCCTTAATAAGATATAAACCACTGATATATGAGTTCCTTTGTGGTATCAATGTCTAATATACCTCTCGTAGCATCAGAGAGGTATATATACCTACCCATAGATTACTGACTATATACTAGCTACCTATTGACCTAGTACTATCGCAAATGACAGCACTGCTTTTTCGTTGCTGCCGTTCTGAAAGTTTCTAACACACGGAAACAGGTCAATAATGACTAATTGGTATACAATTTAAAAAACTACGTCAATGTTAAAATCAGCTGTCAACGTAAATGATAAAACTATATTGATTTATGTGTTAAATTGATAAAATGAAAATAATTCTTCTTCACAAGCCCGTGAACGTCCAGTGCTGAATACGGACCACTCCCGTTGTAGGGGGGATGAACTGTATCAACTTACTCAAGGACAACATGCTATCATCCATATTAAATTGCGTCGAGTTATTCAATATTTAAACACGAAAGATTGTAATATGATACCGAGCTTGTTAATAATCGTTTGCAATTCGTGACCGTAAACATGCGCAGTAAATTTTTGTGCCAGATCTCGAAAAGCAGCAACAATGCTAGCACAGATCTACGTTATAGTCATAAAAGCTTCTTTTGGATATACTTGACGACTCGAAAGCGTAGTAGCTATTGAGTGCTGCAGCGGTGTAGGCCGCGAGTTCGAATCCCGTGAGATCGATCTGTGAGAGCGTGGTGCTTCTCCGGTCGAGTAATAATATATAGCTACAGCGTGGTTCTATCACGTATATTTTTATTGGCCTAAAAACAAATATTCCAGGTCTCGATATTTATTCATTCTTGTATATGTAATTGGTTACTCGCAGGCGTCATCGAAAGATTTGGATGAAGGGAAAAGGGTCACAGCAGGACTGTAAAAACTACCGTAGTATCAGCCTTCTTAGCATTGTGGGAAAATTGTATGCTAAGGTACTAATTAAAAGAATTATGAAAGAAACTGATGAAAAAATTTGGGATGTACAAGTGGGATTTAGAAAGGGAATGGGGTGTATTGGACAGTTGTTTGGAAAATTTGAAAGTTGAAGAATGCGGGTTAAGAATGGGTGAGTTAACCATCAAATGCCTTTTGAACGCCGATGATCAAGTCATACTTGCGTCGTCGGCGGCCGAGTTGCAAATGATGGTTACATTAATGAACAGGTCATTAAAAGAATGGGGAATGAATGTGAACGTTACTTGCGTTCACTTTCATTCCCCTTTCTTTTTTTTAGACGAAAGTGATGGTTTTTGAAAGAGAAGAAAGCAAAACGGTATGTGAAATAAGAATAGGAGAGTTAATTGATTCAGCAGGGATGGGAGATATGATAAGGATATTGAACGACGAGTGAATGCATGAAATAAAGTAAATGGGGCTCTACACTCTATTGTCAAAAGTCAGAATGTGTCAAAAAAGTCACGTATGGCAATTCACAAAGCTGTATTAGTCCCTACTTTAACGTATGGTAGTGAAAGTTGGGTGTGGCAGAAGAAGCATGAGAGTAGAATAAATGCAGTAGAAATGCGGTCTTTAAGGAGTATGTTAGGGCTGAATCTGAGTGACAGGGTGAGAAACTGTGTGATAAGAGTGTGGTTTGCAAGATGATGCCGTGACCAGGATTAAGAAAGGAATGCTTCGGTGGTTTGGTCATGTAGAAAGAATGAATGCGAAAGACTGACAAAGCAAACATATGTTGCAGAAGTGAATGGAAGAGTCGGAAAGGGACGTCCTAGGCGGAAGTTTGTCGACCAAATTGGCGACATACTAAAAATGGGCCAAATTAAGAGTACCCTTAACCGACGAGCATGTATGCGTAGGTATGGATGTGGAAGAGGCGAGAGAGGTATGTCAGGATCGTGCTAAATGGAAGTCTGTAGTCTCTGCCTACCCCTCTGGGTGACAGGCGTGAGTGTTTATGTATGTGTAGAAGTAAAAGAAAAGAGAAAGTTTCGAAAATCAAAAGCAATGGTTATTCATCATAAAATTTATTTTTAAATTCAAAAATATTTACATAACCTTTTTTCCATATTCATATTATTATTCCATGTGTTTTATTTTGGAACAAATTAAACGTAGCCATATTTGTTTGAACGCAATTATTTAATATTTTCTCCCCGAATTTATAATAATTTTCTTTGATAAAAAGCCTTTTCATCTATACTATATTGTTGTAGAGTACTTGCAGCAACATAAACAAAAGCATGTGTAGCGGTAATATTTTTAATTTATGAGTTTACCCACAGGTTAGTTTGTCTAGGTGAACTCAGACGAACTTCGTTAAAAAATAGATCCCTTAGCCGCGGTGTTTTAAATTTGCTGTCAATGAACGCAGTATTGATGATAGAAGTCTTCCCTTCACCAGATGTCGCCATTTGTTACACAATGTCATTTAATTGAAAATGTATTTTTATGAATTTTTAATGATATTTTTAATAAAAGTTTATCAGTTTCTGGAGAGATTCAGATTATATTAATACACAAAACAACTGAACTTTAAAATTTTCCGCACTTTTATGTTCTGTTTTAATTTTTCTACTTTTATGAATATCTGTGATTTGGTTTATTTATGTTGAATCTAAATAATAAAAAGAAATGTTGCCTTTACATTTTTAGAACAATTTTACTTCCCCGCTATGAAATCTGTGAAATATTAAACCTCATTTTTAAGCGGCGCCGCCCTGGTGATGTCCTGGTGGTCGTGTATGTCCTCATTTCCATACGTTTTAATTTGCATATTTCCCAGGGACTTCTTTCTTGAAACAGACTATAAACGGGTTTAAACTTGAGACTATGAATACACCAAGTTTTAGTTTAGTTAGACTGAATAATTCGCTGCATATTTTTTTCCATTTATATAATTTAAAGTATTGTTACAGATATAATTAACATTTCAGTGACATAGAAATAAACTACCATTTAATACTAATAACAAATGAATCGATAATATGTGGTAGTAATAAATAAGTCAAAAAACATTGAACAAGTTGAGTTGTAAGTACAGCCGTAGTTTGTTGGATGCTATCATTGGAAGTTATTCTATGAAGGAGTTATTCTTCTAATCTGACAGCCAAGCAAGCCTGGATGTGCCCATGGCCTTGGTACAACAGTCAGAGAGAGAACTTGTTGATCCCTCTTTACCCTGACTTGTATCCTTTGGCCTACTGAATGTGCCACTACATCGTGGACTTGTGTTATGTCTGAAAAGTTACTGTAGTTCACCGAACCAAACTGAAGTAGCTCATCATTTTCTGTTAAGCCCTGAAACATAAATTATTTACATAAAATTTACTTAACAAAAACTCATTGCATTTACAGGTAGTTTGAATCTCATCTGGTGCGAACATTTGCACAAACACAAACTGTATGCATAACTTAGCAAATACTAAGAACAATGGATCGTTATAACAAAACGGCTAGGTCCCAGCCTAGTTTCAATATAAACATTTATATTACAACTGTTTTACTGCCTCATTTGCCTAATGGTAAGCATGAATGCCTGATGGCGTCCCTCCTTTTGGGCTGAAAACGTGTGCTCCGGAGTTGGCACCGGTCTTAACGCGTCTTTTCCGGTACTCCTACTCCCTA